TCCTCTGTGCGGTTGTTCCTGGGTTTGCCTGAATAACCGTCATGGAGAATTTGAAAAGGACCAGGCCTGCCATGCCTGGGTCTCCACAGCCTCACCGCTGGCGCCCCAGGACATCCCAGCAGCCTGCCACCCCGGGGGTCTGGGCCTCCCACCGAGAGTGGCCTGAGGACTTCCCACCTGCACAGCCAGGTGAGAGGCTCTGTGCTCACCGCACCCCGCTCCGGCCCCTGTGTAGCCAGAGCCAGACTCTGGTCTGGGCGCCTCCTTCCTGCTCTCCCTCTCTCCGTCTCCATAACTACCTCTGGGAATTGACAAAAATGTAAAGTCTGGGTTCCTGCAGGTGAGGAAAGTGGGTTCTCATGGGTGGTAGTTATTAGTGACAAAAAAACCTTTAAATGTAGCCAGAGTCCATCCCCCGCCATCTGCTGCAGGAATTCACTCTCAGGTACCAGCAGACGCTCACACAGTGTCTTCACGGGCAGACGGCTCCGACCCGACCAGGAGGCATATCTCACCTGCCTCAGGCCTCAAGGAGGGGGAGCTCATGCTTCCTGGGACAGATGCAAGGTGAAGACCAGATGGAGCAACACCCCCAGGACCATCTCAGGGCCCCTCCTGGCTCTGCCCACTTCACCCCCCCCCCAAACTAGCTGCTCCATGATCTGGTCTTGGTTCCAGCCAGATAGGGAGATGACATAATCCGGAGCTGCGCCTCTCTGAAGACATTCCCACAGGGGCCCGAAGCACATTCCAGCCGCTTCTCTGTCTGTCCTGCCTGGGGCCTCCATTCCAGTTGGGGTGTCCAGGTCAGCTCTTCCCTGGGTGTCTAGGTCAGCTCCTCCCTGGTCACACACTCCCTGTCCATGACCCTGTCCCTCCTCACTGACCAGCACTGGCCTCTGGCCCCCGAGCAGGAGCTGGGGCGCTGTCCTGACCAGGGGCTCCCGTGTCCATGGGCTCTCTCATGAGGAAGGCGCCACGGGGGCTGGTCCCTCACTCCCAGAACTCTGGGCGGCCAGGGCAGGCTGACTTCCCAGAGCCGGGAAGATGCTATGATGTTGATTTGGAGTTTTGGGGCTCGGAGTGTAGCGTCCTTGGTTCCCCTTGGGCAAGGTTTCCTCAGAGCTCCCCTTTCAGCACCGGCCCGTCCCAGGCAAGTTTCTCCATAGTACAGAGACTTTAGTTCTATCGAAAGGACAGGTTTATTGTAAATGGAGAGAAAATCAAAGGCTCGTGCTCAGACCCAACAGGTGAAAGGGCTGCCCCGAGGGACAGTTTTGCCAGGAGAGCCCTGCATGGTCGCAAGCAGGCGGCCTGAGCAGAGCTGCCTCTGCTGTGGGGGCTGGGTGCAGGTCACCGGGCACGAGGCTGCTGCCCTGTGGAGGAGACAGAGCACAGGTGCAAATGAGCCCCTGCGTAGGCACAGGTAGGCAGGGTTCTGCCCGGCCAGGGCAGAGACTGCCCTAGTCTTCTCTTTGGGAGGGGCTCACTCCTTCCTGGAGTGGGCTGTTCGTTGTTGACTTTAAATGAACTATGTAGAGTATGAAAGGGGCCGGGTTTCTGCCCTCATTCTCCACGTCTCCACCATGGGCCTGGGCTCCGACTGCCCTGCAGCGTCTGATACCTGCCTGGGTCTTGTCTCTGAGATCTGGGCCTTGGCGCCTGAGGAGCTCAGTTCCCGTAGCGGGTGAATGGCTGCTAATCCCTCCACCACCTCCAGCTCCCCGCCTTGTGTGAGCGGGTTTCTGGTCTTGGGGCGCCTCCTTTCAGATTTCCTATACATCTACTCCATCACTCACTGCGTAAGACCAAGTGAGAAGCAGCACAGTGACCATGGGGAATACAGCCGCAATCTCAGGGAAGCTACAGCCTGACGTACCATGCGTCTCACATGGCAGCAGCAAAATGCATCTTCATTTCATGTTCAGATCCTGCTATATGGAATTACCTAGATCATATACCAGAGTTGTGTATATTTAGGTAGCAGGTTTGAGTTTTTGAAAGAATGAGAAGAATTTCATTTTATTTTTCGTAAGAAAAACTGTACATTTTTATTTTGCAATTTTTTTAAAGATTTATTTATTTATTTGTACAGAACTGGGGTACAGGCCAGAGATGCGAAGGGTGAGAGGATTCACCAGAGACAGAGCGGGAAGCAGAACAGGCAGATTGACGAAGTACACTGCTGAGGGGAGCAGCGGGCGGGTCAGGAGAGGTCTGACCATTTGGTCGCCTCCGGGGCAGGCGGGAATCGAACTCATGCGGAAGTGGCTTTAGTTTCTTAGTGCAGTGCTTTAACCCGCTGCGCCACCAGGGAGGGCCTATTTTGTAATTTTTAAAGATTTTATGTATGCATAAAAGAGCTAGGGTGTAGGCCAGCGTTACAGAGGGGGAGAGGATTCACCAGAGACAGAGTGGGGAGCAGAACAGGCAGATTGACAAAGTACACTGCTGAGGGGAGCAGAGGGCGGGTCAGGAGAGGTCTGCTGCACCTTGTGGGTCAGCTCCAGGGCCAGGGGTGGAACTTGTGCTGCAGGGACTGCAGAGAGCTTCATCATGCTGAGATGTAACTGTTTGTGCCAGCAGGGAGACTTATTCTGTAATTTTGTTGTTGTTGTTGTTCCTTATAAAACTAGTTTTTTTTATTTATTACAAAAGTTTATTTTTACATCATTTTGCACATTTTTTTTTCCATCTCAATTGTAATCCCCGTGGGTTTCCCATCACCAAATCACCCCTGTGCCACCACCATAGTCCCGTGCATTTCCCTCCCTTCCCCCCCCCCCCTTTTTGATCCCATTCCCCACTCCACCCCCACAGTCATTCTGTAATTTTTTAAGGTACCGACTGTTTACCACACTGTATATGATTTAGGGGAACAGGTGACCCCTCTCCACAGGGGTGTCACCACACTCATTGTCCACTGTTAACATCTACAGAGTGGACACTTCGGGTCAGGTGGGTGTCATAGAGGGTCTGGTTTTTCTCAATATTTCCATATTTTAAAAATATTCTGTCATGAACCTGCATTTCCTTCATAATAAAACAAAATGTGATTTAAATAACAGTTCATTTAGTCTTAAGAATCATCAATTGTCTCTCACATTCATCTCCATTTTCAAAGCAAGGAGGCAGCTTGGTGCTTCCCTTTGGGACTTTCCTATAGAGGAGTGATATTTCTTGATTCCACCCCCATGTCTCATCTCTCTGGAGCTCTACTTAACCTGACTATCTGCCCCTGAGAAATGACTGATTTTCTGTTCACAGTTTTCCCTCACAGGAGGAAAAACTCTGCCCTCCACTCTGGGCCTCCTTCCTCCTGTGACTCCCCCCAGCTGACAGGTCCCTGTGTGAACCCCACTGGGGTTCTCATCTTCTGTCCCTGAGGCCCAGCCTACCTGGGGCTCCACGGTGACACAGGCTGTGAAGGGACAGAGGACAGGGAGACGCAGAGGGAGCAGAGGGACAGGTTTGCGCTTCCTACCTGCCCGGGACCCCAGTCTCCCTGACCCCCACATGCCCCCCCCAGGAGCTCCTCGGGGTGACTGTCCTGAGCCCGGGAGCCACCTGCTCACTCTGACCTGCTTCTCCCAGGGGAGCACAGGCCGAGGCCTTGGAGAACCCTCAGTTCTCACCTGGGGTCTTCTCACCAGGGAGCCCCGACACTGACTGCAGCAGCCCCTCCTGCTTTAGGGGCCTGTCATAGGTTGTTTATACTTGGTTAGTATATCTCTCACTGATCTGGGGTGCCTGGGACTGGAAGGGGTCTGCCCTCCGGGGAGATGGTCCTGTCTGAGGAGGCTGAAGTCCTGCTGTGCCCACAAAGGGCAAATTCCTCCCAGACACACCCTATCCTGGCCCCCTGGCCTGTCCTGACATCAGCCCTGAATTTTCTGTGTCCTCAACAGGACATCGATGGTACAGAACCAAATCCTCCTTGATTAGAAATTAAATGCAGATGCAGTGGCTACTTCACCAATTGTGAATCAGCACAGGCGTGATTTCAGTTGAGGCTAAGGCCAAGGCTTCTGGTCCTTAAGTGCTCACAAACTGCCCCTTAGGCTGGGTCTCAGCCCCCCAGCAGAGACCAGAGCCTCTTCCTTGTCTTGTGGATTCTCAACGCCTCAGGGAGTTTCTCTGAGCAGACAGAGAAGCAGCATGAAGTCTGGGCCTGTGTTGAAATTCAGCTCCTGAGTGCTCAGCTCTGGGTGCCCCCGACACCTGAGGGAGGTTCCCTATTCATGAGTCTCAGCTGAGCACCTGCAGCCTCCATGATAGGGCCAGGACCCCTGAGCTGACCAGCTGGGCTCTGTGACCCAGGAGTTGCAGTTCTGGGTGTCTGGGAGCCCTCTCCCAGGCCCTGCCCGCCTTTCTTCCTATGGCCAAGTTCTCACACCGCGGGGAGCTGCTGAGGATCCGGTGTCCAGGCTAAGGCACAGGCCTGGACATGCTTGGAGGCCCCTGATCATCCCAGATCCTTAGATGGTAACTGAAAGGAGGCCTCAGGTCAATGAGGGCCCCGAGGGCCTGGGTGGGAGCAGGACTCCCAGGATGTTAAAAGGCGCCTAGAGCAGGCGGCCGCACTCCGCTCCCGCTCACCACCATGGCCTTCCTCTGGCTGCTCTCCTGTGCCACCCTCATCGGGGCCGCCTTTGGTGAGTCTTAGGGTCTGAGGGACCTGCCCTGACTGGGAGGAGACTGGGGAGCAGGCCCTGAACCCCCAGTGGATGTAGCCTGGTGCCATCACAAAGGACTAGCTCAGTTTAGGGGTGATCAGGAGTCCAGGTTGGGGAGCTCTGAGTCCCCTTTCCTGCACACTTGGGCTTCAGGACCTGACACCTACCTGAGTTTGCAGACGAGAGGGGCCTTCTAGGGCTTTCCGAGCCCTCAGCCCTCTGCCAAGCCTCAGGAAGGGGCATCTGGGCTCCTAGACGTGGCTCCCGTGGGGCTGTGGGCATAGAGGCCGTGAGGGGTGTCAGTGCCAGGACCTGCTTGGGGCTTTGTTTCTCTTAGCATCATTAATAATAATACAACCAAGTATCTTTTTCGGGGGTTAGCAAATATCACCTTTGCTGATTTCCTTCAGGGATCTCTCATAACCCCACTAGTCTCAGCACCCCCCTGTCCCCCTCCCCCGGGAAGGGGCCTCTGCTGAGTCCCTGCCTGTCACTCTGTGCAGGCTTCACACACTCACCCCTGGGGCTCACTCAGAACAGCGGGCTCCGTGGGCGAGCCCCTCCCTGCGTCCCTTCCCTGTGTTGTCACAGCTGCTGTCCCCACTGGGGTGAGACCTCAGGTCCCTCCCAGCACAGGGACCAGCCTTCTGCATTGCTAGGATGCGCCTGCAGGGGGCGCCGCTCACAGCTCCTGCTGGTGGTTTTCTGTTCTTAGGAGAAGGATGAGGAGGACATGTTTGGAGTCTCCAGCTTGAGGGAGTGGCGGGGTCATGTCCCTGTCCCCAGGGAAGGGGCAGGTGCTGCTGGGGTTCCCTAGGGGGCTGGCCTGCTCCCCTCTCTTTCGTGGCCAAGTTCTCCCACGCCCGGAGCTGCAGAGATTCCCGTGTCGTGACCCAGCAAATGTGTCCTGCACATGTCAAACACCCTGTGTGTGCTCCTTGGTCTGAACTATCTGATGCTTGGTTTTCTGATTCCTTGATGTGTTTTTATAGTGGGGGGGGGGTTCACCATCACGTTTAATTCAACAATTAAGAAACTTCAATGTTTGCAATGAAAATGTTCCTAAAATTCCCAGGCAGGAATCTAGCAGTGTGAATGGGGACATCACAGTCTGTCAGGAAAGGAGGAGAGGGGTGATCTCCAAAGCATTTGGGGGTTTTCTGATTTTTATCCCACACCTCCTGTCCACACCAATCCCTTTGACGACATTGCCTGTGAAGGTGTCAGTGTTTGCACCCGTTTCTTGGGGAAATAGACCTGGGAGATTAAGAGGGGACTGAGGACACAGAGGGAAGCAGGGAGCAGGGACCCTGATTCCTCAGCCTGTGTCTGCTCCTCTGGGGACCCGGATGCAGCTGCCAGACCCTTTGCATCCCTGGGGAGGGGGGTGGCTGGGGACAGCAATCTGTGTTTATGGGATCCTCCAACTTGGGGTGCCTGGGAATGGTTCCTGGGGTAGGGGAGTGTGGAAGTGGGTGCTGTGTTACTGAGCTAGAAACAGGTCTCTACAGGCTGCCTAGGATCTCACCCTCTCTCCATGTCCCCTCCAGGCTGTGGGGTCCCGGCCATTCCCCCAGTTGTCAGTGGCATACAGAGGATCGTCAGTGGGAAAGATGTTCGTCCTGGCTCCTGGCCCTGGCAGGTGTCTCTGCAGGTGAGGGGAGTCTGCACAGGGTGGAGTGACCTGAAGTTGGGTCAGGGTGGGGGCTCTGTCCAGGGTGTCTGTGACCTGCCAGCACTGACTCCCCTTCTTCCTCCAGGACAGCAAAGGCAAACACATGTGTGGGGGCTCCCTGATCAACAAGGACTGGGTGGTCACTGCCGCTCACTGTGAAATCAGGTGAGGCCCAGCGAAAGTTCAAAAATGGGGGTACAGGAGGGCAGTCCTATCCTCCTTCCTCACCCCACCTGCCTTCTCTAGCACATCTGACACAGTTGTTGCTGGAATATTTAACCTGAAATCAAAGAAGAAGAATATCCAGGTCCTGAGGATTGCTCAGGTACCCATGCTGGGGGTATGATGGGGGTGAGAGAGATGGGGGCTGCAGATGGGCTTGGATTCCCCCTGGGGCTCCCTGGTCTGTCCTCTATTGCCTCACGACTCCTGCAGATCCCTGATGGACCCCAGGCCTCACCTCCCCCCTCCCCACCTCACCACAGGTTTTTGATCACACCAGTTTTGACAACCAAACCGGTAGCAATGACATCGCCCTACTGAAGCTGGCCACGCCCGCCCGCTTCTCCAAGGTCGTGTCCCCCGTGTGCCTGCCCAGAGCTGAGGACAACTTCCCTGCCGGGTCCCTGTGTGTCACCACAGGCTGGGGAAAGAATGATTACTACGGTGAGTGACCTCGGCCTTGTCACCCAAGAGATGGGTCCATATAGATCTGCTTTTTGATTTCATGAAAACGGTGTCATAAATATTTCTACTGTTTTATTCACAAACCACTTAATGAAAACTTACCCCTATGATGGACACGAGTCCATGATGGCCTTGAGTGGTCAGTTCTTGGTCCTGCCTGTTGGTCTCCTCCAGAGTCCTGCCTCCCTCTGCCCAGGCCAGAGCTTCCCGGCTGCTCCTTCCCCAGAACAGGCTGGGCAGGCAGGACTGTTCACCAGCTGTGCCTGGAGCAAATTTGATACCACCTGGCATGAAATCAGAAGGAGGGAACCACTGAGATCTCTAAAGTTTAAGGGGGCACAGGGCTCGGGTTCAGCATCCTGAATAGTGATGGAAGGGGGACCAGGGAGAATAGCACCCTTGGGTCTTGTCCTCTCCTCCCAGGGTGGGCAGGAGGCTGAGGGTTCTCACCCGTCCTGGCCTCTCTGTTGTCCAGGCAAGGCCTCCAAGAAGCTGCAGCAGGCCACCCTGCCCCTCCTGTCCAACGCCGAGTGTGTGAAGTCCTGGGGCAACGACATCACTCATCTCACGGTCTGTGCAGGGGCCAACGGCGTCACCGCTTGCACGGTATGTCCCTTTATCCCTGTGATTCCCCGTCCCCAATCAGGCTGAAGGCCCTTCCTTCCCCCTCCCCCTCATCAGACCATGCCTGGTTGGGGGGGGTGGGGCGAGCCAGGACCAGCACTGGCACATGCCCAGCAGGGACCAGCTCTGGCCCCCCTGGGGCTCTGTCAGGGATTTATCTACACCCTTCCCCTCCCACCCAGCTAGGTTTTCCAGCCCATTAACAGACCACAGCCCCAGGCCCTGGGAAGCATAACTGTTTGCTACTTGAGAAGATGGAAATTTTGAGATATGACTGCATGTACTTTTTATTCCTCTCAATATCTGTCTGAGCTGGGAAGGCTGCACAAGGATCCGGCACCCCTTTCAGACTTGCAGACAGGTGCTTCTCCTCCCACAGGGCGACTCTGGCAGCCCCCTGGTCTGCAAGAAGGACGGAGCCTGGACCCTGGTGGGCGTCGTGTCCTTTGTCAGTATCCCCTGCCACACCAATATTCCCACTGTGTACTCCCGTGTCACAGAGTTTATACCCTGGATTCAGAATATTATGTCTCAAAATTAAGCTCTGGTTCCTCCCAACCCACCGTCTCCCCAATAAAGCCTCTCTGTACAGAGCCCTGACTGCTTGTGTCTGTGCCT